TTTTGGGCAGGTTTTGATTAATTTATCCTTATGGGAAATTGTGATCTAAAATTTGCAATGGAACCTTCAAGATCATTTTCACTTGTCACCTTGGCAAGTTTTTGGTTTGCTGGAGGTGACTGTCCTGCATTATTATATCCAATACTGTAAGCAAGCTTGAAATGTTTCTTTTAGAAATGTCCACTTTGAGTGACTGGTTTGGAGTTTTTAACCTCCCTCTGACTCAGTGGTGAACTTAGATCTTTTTGATGAATATGTTTCTCAATAATTTCTAAATGGAGTTTATAAATATTGAATATATTGAGTAGGGTTGCACCGATACCAATATCGGGCGGGACCCCGATCCAGCACTAAAACTGTGGTAACTGTGGTATCAGCGAGTACCAACAAATAGGGCAAAGTTTATTCAACTATTGTCACCATTCTAGGTAGGCAAATAAAGTTCTCCTGGATTCACTTTGTATTAGTCTTTTCCCTGCTTCACAAAGGTAGGCAGCAGCTTGACAAAGCCATGATGGCAATTATTTTACATCCAAGTAGTATGCAGTTCTTGATATATACATACACATCAATTTCAAACAGATGGTATCGGTATGGTATCGGTATCGGCCAATACTGCACAGCCAGATATCGGGTATCGGTGTCAAAAAATGGCATAGGCGCAACACTTGTTGTAAGACTATATGGTCTCTTTACGTTTTCTTTTTATTTATTTTGTCTTAAGTGAAATACACTACTCAAAAAAAAAGAACATTTTGTAATAAGAGTATAGCATCAAGTTAATTAAACTTCTGGGATATTGATTTGGTCAGGTAAGTAGCAGAGGGGGTTGTTAATCAGTTTCAGCTGCTTTGGTGATAATGAAATTAACAACAGGTGCAGTAGAGGGGCAACGAGACGACCATCAAAACAGGAATGGTTTTACAGGTAGAGGCCACTGACATTTTTTCCCCTCCTCATCTTTTCTGACTCTTTTTCACCAGTCTTTCATTTGGCTAGGGTCACTGTCACTACTGTTAGCACTGCCTGTGCAACCTACAGCGGTTGCACAGGCAGTCCAACTCCTCCAGGATGGCACATCAATACGTGCCATTGCCAGAAGGTTTGCTGTGTCTCCCAGCACAATCTCAAGAGCATGGAAGAGATTCCAGGAGACAGGTGGTTACTCCAGGGGAGCTGGATAGGGCCATAGAAGGTCTACAACCAATCAGCAAGACTGGTATCTGCTCTTTTGTGCAAGGAGGATCAGGAGGAACACTGCCAGAGCCCTACAAAATGACCTCCAGCAGGCCACTGATGTTAATTTCCCTGTAACATCATTCAGCATGACCAGTTTGGTGGTGGGTCAATGATGGTCTGGGGAGGCATACCATGGAGGGACGCACAGAGCTATACAGGCTAGACAACGGCTTCCTGACTCCTATTAGGTATCGGGATGAAATCCTTGCACCCATTGTCAGACCCTATGCTGGTGCAGTGGGTCCTGGGTTCCTCCTGGTGCACGACATTGCCCGGCCTCATGTGGCAAGAGTATGCAGGCATTTCCTGGAGGATGAAGGAATTAATAGCATTGATTGACCCCCACGCTCCCCTGACCTAAATCCGATAGAATACTTCTTGGACATTATGTTTCGATCCATCCGACGCCGCCAGGTTGCACCTCAGAGTGTTCAGGAGGTCAGTAATGCCCTGGTCCAGATCTGGGAGGAGATACCCAAGGATGCCATCCGTGGTCTCATTAGGAGCATGCCCCGTCGTTGTCAGGCATGCATACACGCACGTGGGGGCCATACAAATTACTGAATACCATTTTGAGTTGCTGCCATGAAATTTCAGCTAAATGGACTAGCCTGCCGCATAATATTTTCACTGTAATTTTTGGGGTGTCTTTGAATTCTGCCCTCTGTAGGGTGATAATATTTATTTCCATCAAATGATGTGGCATCCTTTTGTTCCTAACACATCACCCAGTCCATATCAGTATAAGTAAACAGCATGATTTTTTGCCCCATTGAGATCTGATGTGTTTTCGAAGTGTTCTTTTAATTTTTTTGAGCAGTGTATCTTTTTCTTTATTTTTTCTCTGTTCAGAAATAAAAAAAAATGGAGTTAAGTTCTATCTCTGATATGAGTTGTAAAAAAAAACAGATATGGCCATTTTAAAGACGCTAAATTGTTTTGTAGACCCTCTGTTCTAAATCTTTGCACAAGATGTCTTTCAAACCATGAGACAACAAATGGAAACAGGGTTGCTCTTACTGCTCATGTGGACTCTGCATGTTCCACTTGTGCGTATTTAGATTTATCCTGTGGGATAATTTGGAACGCCAAGGTTCTGACAAGCCTCTTACCCACTGGCTATTAATCCACTCATTTAAAGGAGAAGGTTAGATGGTTAGGTCACTTATTTAGGATCTCCTGGTTCTTGTTGCTTTTCTGGTGTGACTGAGCATCCTGTTTCAGATAGGATCTTTGCTGGTGGCTGGGCTGACCCGTGTTGCTGCACACCTGAGAGCATTTCTCAATCAAACTGACTAGCGAGTATATAAGGAAGAGAAGGATCATCTCCTTTCGCCGGATCATTACCCCTGCTGGTAGTCGATCTATAAACCTAAACCAGGAATATCTTACTTGATGAATCTGTCTTCTTGTGAATCTCTTTAACTTGGACATTGCTATTGTTTCAGAAAACCAGTGAACCTCAGTTTGTCTCCGATCTTCATGGTAAAGGTATTGCCTGTGTGCAGCAGGTCTCAGTCTTCATCAGCTGCCTCTCCAGCATGATGACTCTTACAAGTACAAACACTCTCAGATTTCAGTGAGATTCTCCTGGACCTCTGGTGTATAACCTGCAAAGCCCACTGAATCAAATGATCCCTTCCACCTCTTATTGACGGCAATAAAGAGTTCGTTATTGCTGGTATGAAGTCTGTTTTTTTTCATCTCCTCTTAAATTGTCGTTGCCACTGACACCAACACCACCGTTGAACTAAAATACAACATAAGCTTAAGTGAGATGGTGTCATGAGTACACAACGATATAAAAAATAATATAGATACATATGAACATACCTCGCTGACTGACCCTTCTTTTCAAGGTAAAAATGAGTAATAAAGGACTTATTAAACGTAAGTTTCTTTTGTACAGCTTCTTGCAAATGTCATTCATTGTCATGATCTGCTCTGTTAGCTGGGCTTAATTACTTATATCATTCACCTGCCATTCCCGCCCGGCCATCTAATTACTTCTCATCTCATCCTCCTGCGGTCGGAGCTTTATATTCTTTCCAGCTCAACTACAGAGATCAGATCATTATTTTGTTTCTCTGTTCGTTTTCTGTTTGGTTTGTTAGTTGTTGTTTTTTTAGTTCTTTTCATGGTTCCTGGCGACCAGTAGAAAGAGATGGTTTTGGGTCTGTCTCATCTCCTGATCCTGTCCTAATCCTGGTTGGACATCTTTTCTCTGTTTCCTCTCAACCACCGAGTCTGCCCGTCTGCATACGAGACTGCTTGATTTCATCTGTGCGTGTCGTTTTGGGCACACTTCTGAACTCTGTTGGACTCTGAACCTGCCTGGGAGCCCTAAGGATTCCTGGAATCCTGGATCCAATTGTTCCTGCCTGATCTGTCTTCCCCTGACTTGGATCGGCTTCCTGCAAGCTCTCTGAGGCTGCAGCATCGGGACACTCTGCCTGACGCACACTGCGTTGGTTGGAAGCCCATCGGCCCCATGCACCTCTCATGGACTGGTGACGGTGCTGGGCTGGACTATCAAACCAGGTAAATGACTCACACAGATAATCATCTCCTGTCAGATGATCGTGGTCACTTACCTGTGTTCCTCCCACAACCAGAGGATTTGGGCGGTGCCCCGCCCTCTTCCTGCAGTCCTCATGAGCCACAGCCCTGCACTCCTGTTCTGTTTCTGTTTGTTTTACGTTAATAAATGTTTTGAACTTTCCAACTGACTGTCTCACCTTGAATACTGGATCCATCTGTCCCGGTTCTTGACATTCATACTGTGTGCATCTTCTCTTCTGGTTCCCCAGCAAACATTCTAGATTCAACTTCCTATATTAGCATTTCAAAATAATAGTTGTAATAACAAAAAATGTGCAAAATACAAAATAAAACACTGAAACTAAAACTTTGTAGTAAGATTCATGCTACATCCTCTCATTCTCTAAACTAAGCAGATCAATCAGTGATCAGTTGTCATCAATCAACTCCTTCCCGATCAGTCTGCTTTCTCCCCTCAGACCAACCAGAAAGTTACAACTAATTTCCTGCAGATCTCAGCTTCCAGATTCTTGTTTGCTTTTTATAAAAGTCTTTTTTTTTATTCACTGGTTTTTAGTGTGATTCTGCATATGGGTCTAAAAACTACAAACCAACATGACACACTCATCGTGAGTAGAAATACATAGATGGATGTTATATTACTACTGAGACTATTCATTAATTCATTAAAAGAGCTTTAATTAAAGTTAATGGTTATTAAAGCCAATTAAGTTATTCTTTAAGAATTATGAGTATAAATGGAGATCTCTGGTAAGTAATACATCCAACTTCCGACCTCCTTCTTGTCATCAAACTGTGACCAACAGAAAAAACGTCCATTAGAAGTCTGATATCTAAAGATATATGTGTTATGGTAGGGAAGTACTCCATTTTTAGATGCTTCCCAACATAATAACATTTTTCTAAATAAATGGATAACATCACTCCACAGAACCCACCCCCCCACCCCCTCAGTTAATTTATTGTCCCTTTTGATACATTTCATTTCAAAAACATAAAATGTTGTGGGGAAAACTTTTAGGGAAGGGTTGAAAGGATTGTTAAACCTTACATTTCTTTTAGATAACTAAACATGCATTTCCTCAAATTTAGAGGTAAAGTGCTTGTAGCATAAAATGGGCAAACACATTCGAGAAGATGATTTCATTTTAATAAAGGGATGTAACAGCAGCTGTGTGTTTGTTTTCTGTGTGTAACAGAAAGGAGATGCTGACAGGACAGAGGCTCTGCCATTCAAAGTCCCACCAGGACTCGGTTCTCTCTGCCCTCAACCAGCAGAGGAAGGATGGTCAGCTGTGCGACGTCACCCTGGTCGCCGGCGAGCAGAAGTTCCACGCCCACAAGGCCGTCCTGGCAGCATGCAGCGACTACTTCAGGGTTGGTACATTTCGCTCCCTTCCAAACTGTTTGATACATCACTGTCCTTTCTTTTTTTTTTTCTCATATTGTGATTCAACCGGCCCTCCTGGGGCCCTAAAATGACATGAAAGCATGAAAAAAAAAAAAACATTTTGAAGATTTTAATCCAAACTTCTTGTTGTAGAAAAGAAAATCAATCAATTTTTGAAAGCAGAGACCGTAAATAATAATAAAATGTAAAGCAGTTTTCACCAAGTCCAGGTCCACCTGGAATGAACGCTATTATTTGTTGCTCAGGTTAGTCCTCAGAGGAGCTTCAGGCAGACACAAGCTGTCAGCTATCCAGACAGGAGATTTCCCATTGCACATATAGAAGTGCACCGATGAGATTTAATTTGGGGACTCTGAGAAGATTAGAAGGTAGATACTAATCCCTCTTCTAAATGAGAGGCAGATTAAATATGTCCAAGTTGCCCAGGGATTATGCCTCCCCTGTGTTACTCTGCGTGCCCAGGTTATTTTTACATCTCTCCGCAGTGAGCTGATGGTGGGGGAGTCATTCTCCTCTCCTCCTTTTGTTCATCCTCTTCCTGTCTATCTCTCCTTCTCCTCTCTTCTCCAGATAGGTTTGTAAAGTGTCTGTCTTTTAAGCTTCATCTTGGCACAACAGCACTGTGTCTCCAGCTTCCAGATTATTAGATCAGCGTGCAACAGTAAGCAAGAAAAACGGACTTTGCAGCGGCGCTCTCCTGTTTCTCTGTATTGGCTTAACAATGTTATCTTCAATTTGTCATCTGACTCCATTGCAGGGTTTAATTTTGTTCGTTTGCTGAGGAGCTGAGGGCGGCTCAAACGGCAGCCGTGTCTGCTCTCTCTGCCTGCCTCTTTCTCCTCCCATTTAGAGAGAGAAACTTCAGCACTTGTGGCGGTGATTATAACTCATTAGGTAGTCCAGCGGGAGAGGGTGACAGTCATAAAATACCTGAACATGCGTGACCAGGTGACTTGTCCTGAATATGTCATCGGCATCCATTCCCTGGTGAAGATGTTGGGACAGCTTAGGGAGACGTAGCCAAATCAGTCACATCAGCATCAGCGATGTGACCCATTCACAGTTTAACCTGCAAGCTCCTCAGTCAGCTGAGCTGAGTTTATCGGAACAATTTTGTTATCAACAGATTTAATCCGTTTAATCAGATTGACTTTTCCTTTTCTCCACTGAAACAGTCAGCTAATCACTGGAATAAAATTAAATCACGGAATAAAATTCTTCTTTTTTGGAAGTTATGTAACATCACCCTAAAGGTTTGTTTTAACTGACATACAGAGAGAAGGATGCAACCATTTCTCATTACACTTTGACTGTTGATGATGGTGTGGGTCTCCAAATGACAGGGCAAGGTCTTTCTGCCCTGAGCTGAGTGATGAACGCACAGCACATAACCAAGCATGCAAACCTGAATGTCTTTGTCAAGTTCAACATATTAAAGATCTTATGAACATTGGGATCCTGGTCTGTGCCATCATATTGGCTCCTCAAATAAGAGACAACCTGTTACATGTCGAGACTTTAGGGGTGCTGGTGGTGTTCAATATCGAGAGCTTTAACGCAAATTTAAAAACCTGTGATTTGAAAGAAAATTTCTAAAAACTCGTAGGGAAGTCATACTGTATTTAAATGTCAAATCATTCTGCCTTAAACATTTATATAAATTTACTTTTTATCAGATGATATTGTCCCAAAATTTAGAAAATTTCAATAAAAAAAAAAATCCTGTCTTAAAATCTGTGGGGTTTTTTCGTTATCTTATGCAGGCCAGTTAGTTATATGTCAGCCTGAACACCTAAATTCGGCCAATCATATATCAACGGTCATCTGTCAATAAAAATTTTTTGGTCATAGCATCTTGATTCATATGTCGCAGCTAATATGCGCAACGGTTAAGAATAAGAATAATTTCCTTTCCCATTGAGTTCCGTCCCAGTGTTCACGGGGATGGACGTCTGTGTCTTCAGCAGGCGTAGAGCTAACAGAACTGGCAGCGTTGCGAGGCAAGGGCTCAAACATGTACGGCTGGAAGCCTTC